ATATGGTTTAAATTCATCTTTGGTGAGAACCGAATCTAAGACATCTTACTAACAAATGAAGAGAAATACCAATATACCCTAGTATTAAATGACTTATCATTTTTAAAGTAAAAAAAAAAACTAAAATAATTTTGCAAAAATCACAGTTTTAAAAAATATCTTTGAAAATATCTAATGCAACTTTTGGAAAAAACACAATCATGACGGTCATTTTCAAAAATCAATTTAAGCCTTTCTATTTTGGTTTTAAATATTTTTTTTATTTCAGCTATATTTACGAACATAATTAATGCCGAGAAAATATATAAACCCAATTTTTCAACAAACAAATGATTAACCTAGTTTTATAACGATTGTCAGCGGCACTCCTCGTTGTTATCACCAAGTACCTGCAACAGAATTTAACGTGCCACCATGTAACTCTTACACGCGTCCCATAGTCAGAGTGCGATCAAATAGTCACACTACTCAACGATAAGTAGCCATCGTCCGCATTATCCACCCTGGACCCGACGGCACCGTCACCGTATTCGTCGACATCCAACCGCCCCAATCCCGCGTAACAATAACAAGCAACCAATCAGAAAATAAAAAATAAAAAAAATCCGATTTTCCCCTTTTTTTTTTGTATAACAAAATCTAATAAATATTAAATATTCCTAAAAAAGAGGAAAAAAGAAAAACTACCTCCCTCGCTGAACAAGAACATGGCCGAACAAGCTATTTCATAAACACGCACACTCTCTCTCCTTTCTTTCTCTCTCTAAGATCGCAAAGTACGAAAAGGGACTGATTCAAAACCCTAGAGTTTGGCGATCTCTTCTTTTCTCGCTTCTTCGTACTGTTTTTTATTTTTTTTTAATTCCGGGTGTTTTCTTGTAATTGAAGCATCGGATTCAATTGCTTTTGCTTGTGATCTGAGAAAAATCTGTGAAATGTGCTGTTGTTGGAGTGGAAGAAACCCTAATCGCCATTGATGAAGCTGTTTCGTCGATGCCAGAGGATCCTCATCCTCGCTCTGCTCTGCGTCTCTGTTTTCGCGCCCATCGTCTTCGTCTCCCAGAGACTAAAAAATGTCATGCCTACTGGTAAATATGAAATTCTGATGTAGTGGCACATTCGTAAATATTTGTTTGGTTGTTCAGTTATGGAGACAGACTGATTCGGGAACTGTGGGTTTGCAGGGCGGGAGGAGTTCATAGAGGATTTGAATATTGTATGAATCCTTCTTCTCAAATCTCGGTTTTTGTTTTTGTAATTTTGTTATGTTGTGTTTGGTTGCTGAGAAAGTGAGAGAAATTGAACTTTTGAATGTTAAGGGTCTGTGTTGTTTGATGCCGGCTAAACTTTGAAAAATTGTTTCTTTATGGCTGTTCAAGATTAAAGATGGTAAACGTATACGTTTCTGAAGCTAGAAATTTTTGTTAACCAATTTGAGATTGAAGGTGGGTTTTGTTTTGTTGGTGCAGAAATACAGGACTGGTAGTGTGAAGCTTAGTGTCGAGCAGGTAGTGAAGGACTAATTGACCCGATATGGATTCAATGTGAATTTTATCAGTTGTGGTTTTGATTTTGGATATGCTTTTGTGATTTAGGAATCGAGTGAAAGCTTGAAAGAGCCGAGAAAAGTTTTATACGAAGATACAGATTTGCTTTCCACAGTTAATTATACTCGTAAAGAGAATAATGTTGATAAGGAATCCGGAAATGTTAGGGACGCTACTGATATGTTGGAAAGAACTAGAGACGGTTTGTTTATTTTGACTGGTGTTTGTATTCGTTTCTTTCTAAAATGCTTTCTTAATCTCACATTGTTTACTGTGCATCTTCCTAATACAAATATCAGGAATCAAATATGAGAGCAACAAAGGAGATAAGCAACTTCAGCAGAGAGAAATATCAACCATGTCTGGGGAAAAGGTATGCTGTATAATCTGGTATAAGTTGCTGTTGCAAGTCGGAACATCGGAATATGTAGTTTTTTGTTCAAGTTTGTGCATTTCAGGAATTAATAAGAAGCCCAAAGTTTGTGCCTTTTATATAATGGTGATATTGTACGCAATTTCAGAATGTGTTGTGACAAATCATGGTGGCAACCGTACATTGTTTTTGTCTGAATTCAAAAGTATGTTTTACCTTCTGTATTCTGTATATTGATTTATATGGTTTTGGTCACAGAAGCAATGGAACAAACAGGATCAGAATGTACACTCTCAGTCACGGGAAGTAATAGATGAGAGAATAAGACAGATGAAAGATTTAAAACCTAATCGTGCACTTCAACACGATCAGAATGCACATTTAAATTTACAGAAAGTTACAGAGAAGATAAATGAGATGAAAGATCAAGTGATTAGAGCTAAAGCATACTTGAGTTTTGCACCACCAGGCAGTAAGTCAAGTTTAGTGAAGGAGTTGAAACTGCGAATTAAAGAGGTAGAACGAGCAATTGGTGGAGCCACCAAGGATTCAGATTTATCAAGGAGGTAAAACGATTCATGTCTTTTATTTTCCTCTTGTCTATTAGTTTCCAAACATCTTAAACATGCTACATAAAGAAAAGTCAACAAGATGTTGAAAACAAAAAAATAATCTGAAAATGGGATCCACTGTTCTTATAAAAGGAAGCAAGTAATAAGTTATGTCAACAGACGTCTTAGGCTGAGGAACACCATCTTGAGCTCTCATTAATATTCTCTAAAACCGAGTAAATTGCAGTGCCTTGCAGAGAATGAGAAACATGGAGTCTTCACTATCTAAAGCCAGCCATACATACCCAGATTGCCCTTCCATGTCTACAAAGCTCCGTGCTATGACTCAAAATGCTGAAGAGCAAGTTTGGTCGCAGAAGAAGCAAGTCTCTTTTCTGTTCAACCTCGCTGCAAGCACAACCCTAAAAGGCCTACATTGTCTTTCAATGCAGCTGACTGCAGAATACTTTGCTCTGGATTCCAAGGAGAGGCAGTTTCCTAACCAGAAAAGGTTGCATGATCCAAAGCTCTATCATTATGCTGTTTTCTCCGACAATGTTCTGGCATGTACAGTGGTTGTGAACTCCACTGTTTCCACTGCCTTGGTAATTTGACTGGGCCTTTTCAGTATTCTGTGTTAAACTTCAAATTGATTTCTGAATCCCCATGATTTTTCTTTTGGCTAAAGTGGAGAATCAAAAGATCCACTTAGCTTAAGCAAAAACCATGACAGTTAATCCCGCCCTTAATTTTCACGTTCTCTTTCAATGTTGCACACGAACAAACGGACACACTATATTATTAGTATGGCATGAAAGCTTGTTGACTTGGTTTTTTTCCTTTTGGTGTAATGATGTACAGAAACCAGAGAAGATTGTTTTCCATGTGGTGACTGATGCACTCAATTTTCCAGCAATCTCAATGTGGTTCTTATTAAATCCTCCTGGAAAAGCCACAATCCAAGTCCAGAGCATAGATAGTTTCAAATGGTTGTCGACCAAGTACAATACAAGATTTAGGCAAAACTCCAGTGACCCTAGGTATACTTCCGAACTCAACCACCTCCGTTTCTATCTGCCAGATATCTTCCCGGCATTGAAAAAGATTGTGCTCTTTGACCATGATGTGGTGGTGCAAAAGGATCTAAGTAGATTATGGAGTGTTGATATGAAGGGAAAAGTAAATGGAGCAGTTGAGAATTGTCAGGAGAGTGAAACTTCCTTCCTTCGGATGGATACATACATCAACTTCTCAGATCCATTTGTGGCAAAGAAGTTTGATGCCAATGCATGCACGTGGGCATTTGGGATGAATTTGTTTGACCTTCAAGAGTGGAGGAGAAAAGATCTGACTACACTCTACCACAAGTACTTGAAATTGGTACCATCTGAACAACTACTTTACGATTCTTAACTTATTTCCTTTTCGGGTTTTAACATTTGGCATGATACATACACCTCCGCTTGCAGATGTTTGAATGCTGTTATGCAATCATAACCTAATGCTTGATTTACTCCGTTTGTGGTTGCAGGGTTATAGAAGGCCATTGTGGGTGGCTGGGAGTTTGCCCTTAGGTTGGGTCACCTTCTATAACCAGACGGTAGCTTTGGACAGGCGGTGGCACATCCTTGGGCTGGGTTACGACTCAGATGTGGTTCGTGCTGACATTGATCTAGCGGCAGTAATACACTATGATGGAATCATGAAGCCATGGTTGGACATTGCGATTGCGGGGTACAAGGATTATTGGAGAAAATATGTCAACTATGACGACTCTCATCTGCAACAGTGCAACATTCATGCGTAGAGTAGAGGAAAGGCACATGTACCACATGATTAGTTGCTTGTTGCTCGTGGACGATGGAACTGCAGTGATTCCCAGAATTCTTTCTTTAACGATTCTTCGATGTAAAATTCGGCTCAATTTTTTCCCAAATTTTTCGGGGCGTAATCTTTCTAGGATCCGAGTCAAAAGATATAGAAATCATTGGAATTAATAAGTTTCCCTGTGGGATTTTGTATTGCTGGTCCGTATTTCGTGTACATAACTTGTTTCGATCCATTAGCTACACAATTTAAAACATCTTTCAACATAGACGAATTCACTTTGTTATTTTCTTTTGTATAAGGTATAAACCCTCTTATCTGAACTTTGTCGATTGTTCCAAGATAAATTTGTGCTGAAACCAAGTTAAGCTACCTGAGTAACTTACATGATACAAATACACTACAATTATGATGTTCCGTATCAATGATTTATTGCCATGCATACAAAACCCAACTGTATTGTACTCGTACCATGAAAGTCATTCAGTCGTTCTCAAACTTTAGAAGTACAAAGCTGGATGATATGATTCGATTTTATTATTATTCCTTGAGCAAGGGACATTTGGACTTTAGAGGGATTATGTGACACGTGGAGAAAAATGGTTGGTTGGTTGCAGATAGGGAGATATCTAATGAGGGGCTACCAAATGCCAATCTATCCATCTTGTGTGATGCACGGGGCAGACGTTGGCTCAATCATATTAATCTGTGAATTGCTCAAAACCCCTGTAAACTGCAACTTGTTGTCATATATTCGGTTCCACTGCAGATTGCCCCTAAGCTTCTTTGAGCTTTCCAAAACTAAACAGAAATGGCAACCATTACTGCTAGCACTGCAGCCTCGTCTGTCGTTAGGGCAAGCCTTGTGCACAAGCCATCTGCTGGGGCTCCATCCTCAACTGTTTTGGGTATGACTCTTGGTTTCTTCACTTCTTGATGGTGAGAGAAACTTATTTACACCACGGATATACGTCTTTGGTGGTATCCCAACTCTAGTGTACTATCGTACATTTAAATTTTCTCACATGAGAACGGTTTAGTTGTCGACTTAGGGAAGTTCTTCTCTTTAATTAATTGCCATTTTATGAGATTTGGTGGCTTTTGATTTTTCGTCTTTCTTTTTTCTTCTAATTGGTCTTTAATATGATCCCAGCTTAATTATGATTGTTATGTGAGAAACTTATTTACAACATAGATGTTATTTTGGTGGTATTTCATGTCAATCTCGTAGTGTTAGATGATTTGACTTCTGCATATACATTTGTGAGTTGTATGAGTTCCCAGCACAGTGACATTCCTATCTTATAAGACACAAACTGTCGTGAGTTACATCGGATACCGTGACAGTGGCATCTTTCTAATTGGTCTTTTTAATATGATTCCAGCTTTGCCGTCACTTGCGAGAAAGGGAAGAGTGAGCTGCTCTATGGAAGGAAAGAAGGAGAGCAACTCAAACATGGCCAAGGATGGATCTTTGGCGGCAGCAGTTATGGCGGCGACCATGTCAAGCCCCGCTATGGCTTTGGTGGACGACAGATTGAGCACCGAGGGAACAGGGCTTCCGTTCGGATTGAGCAACAACCTTCTTGGTTGGATCCTCTTTGGGGTGTTTGGTCTCATCTGGGCACTCTACTTTATCTATACTTCCTCCCTTGAAGAGGACGAAGAGTCGGGACTGTCCCTCTAAGCCAAACACCAGTGTTCCTCAAATGATGGAGGAATGTAAAGATTTCTAGTTCATGTTTTGTAGTAAAAGCTTCCCATTTGTGGATCAAATCTTTGTACTTGTGTTATCAACTATTTTTAAGTCATCATCTGAGTTTTTCCGAAATATCAATGCTTGATTGCTTGATTTTTTTTTTTAACTCGTGATAAACTGGACTCAGGTTTCATACTTCCTTTTCTTTTATTTTTTTAATTTGGAATGCAAAATGATCAGATTTATTGATGGTGATCTATTTGAATATGCTTTTAAAATAACTAAAAGCAATTTCAGGCAACTAAAAGTGTTAACGTTAGTACGTTACAGTTCAATCTATTTATGGGTTAAAAAATGCGTTAAGTGCTTTTCAATGAAGCATGTTGATGCACAAAGTCAGTGAAGACTTTGGAACAACGTAAAATGTCAAGTTTGTGACCTTCGCTCGGTTGCTTCAGTCACCTAGTAATGATGATATGTAAAGAGGTAAAGATAGGGAAGTAAACACAAGATGTACGTGATTCGCCCTAAGTCTGGCTACGTCCACAGAATAGAGGAGTTCTCATTAATAGTGAAGGGTTTACACAAATACATAAGTTTAAGCATAATTATCATTAGTGGGTTCTAATGACTAATTTAAGTACAATGCTGACATTAGCCCCTCATTGTAGGAGAATGGTCTTCTTTTATAGTTGAGGAGAGTCTCCAGCTTTTGTTCGCGACCAATGTGGGACTCTATGAACCTTATTCTGATGTTAACATGTGTCGTGCTGTAATTGACCTCCTGGTTGGAGGGAAACTCTTGTGATTCGGCAAGGGTGTCTCAGCATAAACCCCTCAATAGGTCCTTGAACGGCAAGGGTGTCTCAGCATGAACCCCTCAATAGGTCCTTGAAGGTATGACGTTGACTGGTGCTCGGTAGTTTTGGGATTGGTCAAGTATGGTACAAACAAAGCATTTTGTCACATCCCGGCCCAGGCTCTACCACATCCCGGACTCGACTCCGCCGTAGCATGATATTGTCCGTTTTGGGCTTATCATTCCCTCACGATTTTGTTTCTAGGAACTCACAAGCAATTTCTCAGTGGGTCACCCATCCTGTGAATGCTCTAGCCCAAACTCACTTAACTTTGGAGCTCTAATGGAATCCGAAGTCAGTGAGTTCCCAAAAGGCCTCATGCTATGGAGGTGAGCATGTACATATAAGACACATCACCCCCTCTCCGTTGGTCGATGTGGGATGTTACACATTTGCATTTTTACAAAAATTATTAATGTGCTTCTAATAAAAGTGCTTTTAAATATAAGTGCTTTTTATCTCATGAATATGGGTGATCAGTGATCACCTTCACATTATTTGTTTCATCCTTCTTTTTGGCTTGAGTTTCTACTACACTAATGTAAAATAATTGAAGATATTTGTTTTGACTGCATACTTATATGTATGATGGTTGTGGTCACATTTATATGATGGTCATATGAAAGAGAGAACAGGCTGACCCCAAGACATATATATATTTAGTTTCTTTAAAAGAACAAAAAATAAAAGAAGTTATGTGCTTATAATTTTATTGTAATGATCCACAAATACTTCGTTGCAATTGCAATAAATTAGGGTATTGGAAGAAACTAATATTGCCATCAGTATACCATAACATATTCCGTATGCGAGGGCACTTGAAGGTTTCAGGCGACACAATGTTGCAATCTCATCGTCTTCATTTTCGTTCTTTTCCATTGTTCCCTATATAGTATATATGTTCCAATTGAGCTCTTAAAACATGTTTGAATGTAGCTACATTACTTGACCAAGCTATTGGTATTTATAAAAATTAAGAAAAAAAAGCATTGTCATTACGCGCTAGGAGTGGGTTCGGTTTTGAACGGTTCGGTTTTTTGTCAAACCAAAAACCAAATCGAAATCATTGTTCGGTTCAGTTTCTCTTTCAATTTTTCTGGTTTAGTTTAACTTCGGCTCGATTTTATCAGTTCCGTTCAGTTGGGTTTGCTCCACAAATCAAGTATTGGAGTCTTCTGAGTTGTTAACCTATTGAAGAACAAAAAAGGCAACAAACTTCAGTTAGGACATGAAAAAACTCTGAAAACCATAAAATCAAAGACGCAATAAATGGCAGTTTCGAATATATATATATATAAAACTAATTGTGATCGTGAATTTAGTAGTAGAATGATAATTAGGGTTTTGCCATATATGAAAGATACCATGAAATAATTAAACAGAGCACAAACCTCTAAATCTTTGAAGTCTAAGAAAACAAAAATCTCAGTTTCGTACTTACACTAAACATGGACCTTGCTATTGAAGCAATTCAGACAACCTTATTTACACTTTGGATATACGTCTTTGGCGGTATCCTAATTTTAGATTATTGTCGTATATTTAAATTTTCTTACATACCAGTGCATAAAGGAATTGTTATTGGCATCCAAACTTACTATAATTAGAAAGAATAATATACTTCTGAAGAGTGTGGAATGAGATTTTTGAAGTATTAATAACAATTCCCGTACATAAAGGGTTTAATTGTCGTCTCAGGGAAGTTCTTGTCTTTAATTGCCATTTTATGAGATTTGGTGGCTTTTGATTTTACATGTTTTTCTTTTTTCTTCTAATTGGTCTTTAATATAATTCCAGCTTAATTATGATTGTTTTGAGAAAAACTTATTTACAATGGAGATGTTATTTTGGTGGTCATTCAAGTCAATCTCATAGTGTTATAGGATTTAACTTTCCCATTTATTGTCGTAAGTAGCACGAGATACCATCACAGTGACATCTCTGTCTTATTAGACTTAACCTTTCTTGCAAACTGTCGTGTACATTGGATACTGTCCCAGCGGCATCATTGGCTTATGAGACTAGTAGGCTTTTGATTTTACATTTCCTCTTTTTCTAAGAATGTGATTCCGCCTTTGCCGTCACTTGCAAGAAAGGGAAGAATGAGCTGCTCTACGGAAGGAAAAAAGGAGAGCAACTCAAACATGGCCAAGGGTGCATCTTTGGCCGCGGCAGCCATGACGGTGATCATGTCAAGTCCCGCCATGGCTTTGGTGGACGAGAGATTGAGCACCGAGGGGATAGGGTATCCGTTCGGATTGAGCAACAACCTTCTTGGTTGGATCCTCTTTGGGGTGTTTGTGTTAGGTTTTGAACTTACACATATCATGATAAGGATACCTAAACGTGGGTTCAAACCAATTATGAGTCATGGCCATGTCAATAACTGATCTCCTAGAATTAAGGGATATGGGACGTGATAAGGATGCTTGCATTGCTCCACGTCAAAAGAAACTGATTGCTGCAGTTCATAGCAGTTGCTATCCAATCCTCTTGATAGATGGAAGTTGGAGAAGTTCAGTTCGATATAATAAAGGATTCCCTGCTCACAAAGAACATGTTCTGGAATCAGGGTTCTATCACCATTGGAACATAAGGTCTTGAGTGAGTAGAAGAATTCTTATGTGTTACCAGTAAACACAGCCTGCACCAGGTCTTTCAGTTGTTGTCTCTGCTGTCTTTGTTGCTGGGCAGATGAGTTCTCAGGTGTGGTCGATCTCTTTTTAATGCCAACTCTTGTAATGTTATATTTAAGATATGTTGTTTGTGATCCTTGTTGATGACTAACCTTTTATAGTTCCTACAGTTTGGTCTCATTTGGGCATTCTACTTTATCTATACTTCCTCCCTTGAAGAGGATGAAGAGTCGGGACTGTCCCTCTAAAGCCAAACACCAGTGTTCCTCAAATGATGGAGGAATGTAAAGATTTCTAGTTCATTTTTTGTAGTAAAAGCTACCCATTTATGGATCAAACCTATGTACTTGTGGTATCAACTATTGTTTTAAGTCATCATCTGAGTTTCTTCGTTAACATCAATGCTTGATTACTTGATGTTTTTATTAAATCATGATAAACTGAACTCAAGTTTCATATTTCTTTTCTTTTACTTTCTTTGTTTAATTTGGAATGCAATATGATTAGATTTATCGATGACATACTTGAAATTACTTTTAAAATAACTGAAAGTAGTTTAGATAACTAAAAGTGGTGATGTTGCAGTATTTGTGAGTTAAAAAGTGTTTAAAGTGCTTTTCAACGAAGCATTTACATTTTTATTAAAATTATTATTGTGCTTCTAATAAAAGTACTATTAAATATAAGTGTATTTTAAAAGGGAAAAAAATCATCTCCGGATCCTTTCCTCCTAATCCACTAAATCAGGGGATCCGGATTATTGAAATTTGATTCTACGGCTGAAGTTATTATAACTTTTAAAGTGGGCCCTTGTTTGTAGCTGTTGGATCAAATTTCAATGACACGGATTCCTTAATTTGGTGGATTAGGAGGAAGGGATCCGGAGAGTATCCCTTTCCTTTTAAAAGAAATATTTTTGGCTTTTTAGCTAAAATTGTTCCTGAGATTGACATAACTCCTCACTTTGTTCTCTGAGATTTAAAAACCGATATAAGTGGTCTTTGAATTTGTGAACCGTTAAATCATTTTAGTCATTTCGTAAAAATCTCGTTAAATAAGACCAAAATGACAAAAAATACCCTCAAAATTTATAAATTTATTTTGGCATGTTATTTATTAAATTAAGAGTATTTTTATCTTTTTTTTGTCCTTCTTTAATTGAGATTTTTTATAGAATGACCAAAATGATTGATTGTGTACAAATTCAAGTACCATTTCTATTGATTACAAATCTTAGGTACCAAAATGAAAAGTTATGCCAATCCTAAAAATCATTTTCAAACTGGTTGCATCCCTTTATTTATTATGTAGCAGGAGATGATAAACCTACCAGATTACAACTAAAAACGGAGTTGAGTGTGAAGAATATTCTATGCATTTTTATTTGATGAACATATTAAATAATTTAAAAAAAAATAAAAAAAGTGTATGGCAGGTGCATATCTGTGAATCTTTTGGCTTTTGCGGTCAATGAAGGTATGGTAGCATGAATTTGGGAATGAGTCATCACCTTCACATTATTTGTTTCATCGATCTATTTTGCGTGAGTTGCTCTACTAAACTAATGTAAAATAATTAAGGACATTCATTTTGAATACGTGATTATTTGTATGATGGTTGTGGTCACGATTATATGATGGTCATATAAAAGAAAGAATAGGATGATCCTCCTGAGACATATATTTAGTTTCTTTCAAATAACCAAAAATAAAGCAGAAGTTATGTGTTTATGATTTTATCGTAATAATCCACAAATACTTCGTTGCACTTACAACAAATTAGGGTATTGGAGCAAACTAATGTTGCCATCAGCATGCACTTGAAGGTTTCAAGCGAGGCAATGTTGCGATCTCATCGTCGTCGTCTTCGTCCTCTTCAATTTTTTCCTGTATATATTCCAATGAAGCTCTTAAATGTGTTCCAATGTAGCTACCGTGCTTGATCAAGCTATTGAGAAAAAAAAATAAAGACATTGGGATTGCACGCTATTGCATCATGCCACATTGTCACCAACCTACCAGAATGTAGTACGTGTTTGGCCTTCTTCAAAGCTGTGAAGCCAAGACTCGACGAACGCACATGATATGATGTACATGCAGTTGTTGGACAAGTGCATTTTAGCATCAGTTACTCTATTAATGTCATATAATTAACAAATGATATTTGCTTGGATGCATAATTATATATAGGGTGCTTTAGATTTTGGTCCTTACAATTCATTATTTCTAGATAAAAACCCATCTATCTTTAAAGATCCAGTTTAAGCCTAAATTTAAAATTTGCAAACATATAGGAACACTATTGACATATTAATACAATTTATTTACACTCATGCCACTCATACTTTATGGTCCATTTTCCAAATTCCTAAATTTATGCCAAATTAAAAGTAGTAGAAAAAGTGAAATAAAATGAAAAAAGTGTTTGCATTAACCGTATCTATGTCAAACTAGAAAAGTAGTTTTTTTTTTCGTGATATATTTTGTAGCAATTTTATCCATATTAATTGGTAGGTAAATTAGTTTGTTCCAATTATTTAAAAAAAAAATAATACTACACCTATATTATATATTTTGAATCAAATAACATTCCTCTAACTTGTAGGTAAATTATTTTCTATGTTGTCGACCTTTTGGTCAACCAAACACAAGTTGTCGACCTTTTGGTCACCGGATTTACATGAATGCTCCATTCCCGGTGGGAGAAACATCTCACTGAACAGTCCAGAAATGAAATAAGAAATGCTGTTAAAAAAGATGAAGAAGGAATACCAATCTTTGACGAGCGACAAGGAGTCCCAAATGCAGTCAATACATTGCTTTTCACAATAATAGAACATTTCATAGGAACACCTAGTAATGTTACCTCCAGGATCCATGATCAACTCAGCAATCTGAGATGTCCAACTCTAAGCGACTTTAGATGGTACAAAGATGTGTTCATGTCTAGAGTCATGCTCAAAGAAGACAGTAATCAACCATTTTGGAAAGAAAAATTTATAAATAGATTACCAAATCTTTTTGCACACAAAATTAGAAGTGTATTAGTTAACGAAGAAGGTATCATACCATATCATACCCTTACATATGGAAATATAATTAATATTATCCAGAATGAAGGATTGAAAATGTGACTGATCGTTATTTACCTTGAACTTGAGATACTCAATGTGTCACATCCCGGCCCGAGCGGACCACTTTCTGGGCCCGATCCACCACCGTAGCACGATATTGTCCGCTTTGGGCCCCGACCACGCCCTCACGGTTTTGTTTTTGGGAACTCACACGAGAACTTCCCGATGGGTCACCCATCCTGGGAATGCTCTCTCGCGCTACTCGCTTAACTTCGGAGTTCCAAAGGAACCCGAAGCCATTGAGCTCCCAAAAGGCCTCGTGCCAGGTAGAGATGTGAATATACATATAAGGATCACTCCCCTGGGCGATGTGGGATGTCACAATCCACCCCCCTTAGGGGCCCGACGTCCTCGTCGGCACACACGCGACCAGGGTTAAGCTCTGATACCAAATTGTCACATCCCGGCCCGGGGCGGATCACTTCCCGGGCCCGACTCCACCGCCGTAGCACGATATTGTCCGCTTTGGGCCCCGACCACGCCCTCACGGTTTTGTTTTTAGGAACTCACACGAGAACTTCCCGATGGGTCACCCATCCTGGGAATGCTCTCGCGCGCTACTCGCTTAACTTCAGAGTTCCAAAGGAACCCGAAGCCAGTGAGCTCCCAAAAGGCCTCGTGCCAGGTAGAGATGTGAATATACATATAAGGATCACTCCCCTGGGCGATGTGGGATGTCACACAATGAATTGACTGGGAGTTAAACATAAATGCTAGTTAACATCAGTGGTAATGAAATATTTTCCATAATGAAAATAGTGAATTTAAATTAATGATGCAGAGATATAATTTGAAAATAATTTTATTTCAAATTGGAAACCAACTTACAATTTCGTCTACTGACGATTGATTGAAAGAATAGTGGTGCTCGCAGGCATCCTTAATTCAAAATAAAATACAGGTGTTTGATGTTTGGTATTGGGATGAAGCTATGATACTTCTATTCTGAGAGAATTCATAGAAGTTTTAGCTTTTTGGCGACTAAAGTCTTCCTGCTCTGAGAATGAGCTCTCCTTTTATCTAGCTGAGAGAAATGATTGAGGCTGAGATGATTAAGTCGGGGATTCCCGCTTGCATATGCCAAAGGCTGTAAAGGCTGACTGATGATGAAGCTTTTCAATGTGTATTCGCGCGTCTGTTTTCGAAATGATGGATGAATAGTAAAAAGTGATTTTACTATTCATGAATAGTGACTTGTCTGCTACTACTGCTAATGAATAGTTCCTTGTCGGAATGATTGCTGCTACTACTGATCACTTGGCTGCTACTGTGCAATTTACATGGGTTAAAACCCTTGAAATGATTACAAATTATTACATTTTGAAAATCAAATTTCAAATGGATCCTAAGAATCTTGGTAATCGGACCACTTGACGGGTTGATACGAAGCGTCTGATGAGTCTAAATTTGTTTCTTCTTCTTCTTTGAGCAGCAAAGCTGCTTCTGCCATAAGCTTATCTGCCATATCTTTGAGTTGTGAGGATTTCTCTTTTTTCTTCGAACTTATTGTTTTGGATGATCTTGATGATTTGGTTTTGCCCTTGAGGGAGGATGAATGACTCATGTCCGATAAAGATTGAGTAATTTATGGGGTTTCTGGCAATGCCTTCTGTGCTGGTGGAGATACCATTGGAACAGGAACAATAGGGAACTCAGATGAGACTAAAATGATAATTTCTTTCAATCAATCGTCAGTAGACGAAATTGTAAGTTGGTTTCCAATTTGAAATAAAATTATTTTCAAATTATATCTCTGCATCATTAATTTAAATTCATTATTTTCATTACGAAAAATATTTTCATTACCACTGATTTTAACTGGCATTTATGTTTAACTCCCAATCAATTCATTGAGTATCTCAAGTTCAAGGTAAATACCGATCAATCATTTGTTCAATTCTTTTTATTTGTTTATAACAGTTGATTCCATGGTATTTTTAATTCTAGATATCTTCCTCATCAAATATCACATAATTCCATGAATTATTCATCATTTAATCCTGATCATCATTACCCTTGGTATAATTGGATCAAGTCATTCGTAGTTCACCTTAGTACTTCAAAGCATTCACAGTAATCATAAGCAATAATCAATTTATAAACATTTATGGAATTATCTATCGTGTGTGTGTGTGTGTGTGTGTATACACGATAGAAAGGAAAAGACCCACTCACCTGAGGTTCGCGCTACGACTACCTAGCATGCATATCGAGACATCAAGAACCAATGTCGCCTAGAACAATTATCAAATCACGTCTCAGAGTTCTTACCAATAGAATACGTAATTTACATAAAACACATCCCTACGTAATTCACTTCGGAAGATCTGCATCACGGATTTCCGATCCGTTACTTCCAAATATTCACATTATGTTCCTAGAACCACATCCTAACGTTTCATTATGATCCAATGGTCGGATCTCAGCCAATTGCCAAAACCAGGTGGCGGTCAACATTTTATTTTATGAACTTACAAATCCAATTCGGGAAGATCCGTACATCGGATTCCCGATTCGTAAGTTTCTATTGGTCCTCAAATATTACGTACTATAATGTATTAAAGATTGGTGACGATCGAATGGACGAATCATCGATTCTTATAAAAGTCAAGTGATGTGTCGTAATGAAACTAAGTTCCAACAATCAAACCACATCTTATGGATATCAATTATGGCATCAGAACATCTAATTGAACTTAAAAGGACATCGTCGGCATACTAGCCAAGCCGCCGTCGCGGGTGGCGGTCGGCCGCCCCAACTTGCCGGAAAATTCGACTATTTTAAAAAATTTACCAAAATTTACAGAAATGAAGATCTCAATGAGTATAGCAAGTTTTATACCTGTGGCCAAGTCCAATTTGGCCGAGAAAAGCCCTAAATTTACTCAAACCCGTTGAAAACCTCAAGATGGGTGTTCTTCGATTCGACTTCCTCGATGTTCCAACGCCCCTACAACTGATTGGGTCTTATTCCTAGGTCCAAGGGGAGTTGATTAAGAGTGGTGGTGGGTGGTGAAACTCACCGAACCGGAGGAATCACAGTCGAGCATCTCCGGTGCTCCAATGAGGTATTTCACGATTTTGGTCCTTAAACCCTTCGATCTTGGGTGGAAATGGAAAAGGGAAAGTCACTAAGCGTTTTGCAAGTGTTGGATGGTAGTGGTTCAACGGAAAAAATGGAGAACATCGTCGGAGTTCAATCTGTTTGGGTGTGCGGTTGCACTGCCCGACGGGAAGGTTTCTTTATTTTTTTATTTTTTCTTTCCTCCTCCCTTCCTGATTGGTTCTCCTTTTCCTCCCTCTAAAAATCTGATTGGTCCCCTTTATTTTAACTAATTTAACCTTTAACCCACATGTGGAAATTAAATAATTCCCACAATCTATAGTTTTACAACTTCAAACATCTATAACTATACCAATATAATTCGAACTCGCAAACGGCTTTCACTTATGCGTTCGTACCAACGAGTACTAAACAAATGCGCTAAGTGAATAAGTCAAACGTTTCTCTACACGTTGGTCAAAGAAAGTCAAAACCTTCACCTCTAGGGCATTGGGCATAAATTCATTCTTTTAAAATTTATAAAATCGTAAAACTAGGGACGGGTTGTCACAGAGAGTCCACACCTATTTATTTATGACAATAAAGTTAAAAATAATTAAGTTTATAAATATATATCAGTCATTATTTAGAGCAGAGAAAGGTCACATTTATTTTGGATGCACAAGATTTTATCTCCTAATGAGTCCAATATGCTGACTTGCTTATGTGGCCCACTAAACTGAAGACACCTGGTATTCTAAGAATTCCAAACACAACTAAACACCTCCTTGCTTCCTCCCTGCAACTTTTTTACCATTTTCCTTCATCTTCCTTCGCCTACACCAATCACCATAATTGTAAATAAAAAAAAATTGAATTCTTTCCAAGATGAACAAAATCGGACCCATATGGAACGGGAGTCGCCATCTTCAATGTCTTTTGTACCTTCGGCAACCGTCCTCACCCACCACCACCACCGCCAGCAGCCACCGTCCTACATCCACTTTCCAACCGATGATTAACTATATCTTGTGAAAATATACGGTTTGATAGTTAAGTAATCAAATTCATGGCACCCGTAAAAATTGTTTTTGGTCAGTGCACTGGTTTGGTTGAATGAATTTTCAAATGAAGGGTGATAGTTTGGTCGGATTTGCAGAGGAAGAACGATGACGGAGGAGAGAGGTTGGAGGAATGAGAGCGGGATTGACAGAGCCGGTGACATAGGGAAGGGAAGAAGAACATAGGCGTTTGGTTATCAAGATAGCAATGATTTAGGTGTGAGTTTTAAAGTAAGGTGTTGCATAATTATTGAGCCACCAAATAAGTTGTTAATACCCAAGTATTATTCTAATAAATCACGAACAGGTGGTTTAGTGGTAAATAACGAATTATGGGGCTTCTTTAAAACTAAAAATTGAGAGGTCTCGGGTTCGAAACCTGCTGCTAATCTATAAGCCAAACTTATGGCTAGAGAGAGGTTGAAAATTGTGACTTTAGATCCTAGGACAGTGGAAGGCACTCTCAATAACATGAGAGATTTTTCAATGCGACCAGCACACGAGGTGGTACATCACGTGTTACTAAATAAACAGTGGGATATGTGTGTTAAAAAGTTAATAACTTAAAAAATAAAATTTCTCACCACTTACATAAAAACACGTAATATACCATCCGTATTCCCGTCACAATGAAATATTTCTCCAATAACATGATCAAACAGTCTTCATGAGTGCATAGATCCTAAATCGGGCATCTACCGTGTCTCCAATTTGGATGGACAGTTAGTTTATTAAAACGCTAAAGCAACGTTCAGTATCCTTCCAAGAAAGGTTAATAATTCTGCAAAGCAACAGCGGGACCGCCGGCGATTGAAAGAAGCCGTGCGATGCAAGAGAGCGAACAGGACACGAGTTCGGGTGGGGGAACTTTAGCAAATGCAAAATCGAAAAACCCAAAAAAATTGTAGTATATGCATACTAGATAATCAAGTCATCTTTGATTCGGACACATGAGTTGTTAGCTACTAGTCGTAACTTTTAGTGGAATTTAAATTGTTTCGGCCATAAATGAAAAATAGAAAACTTTAACGAAAAGTTCATGGTACTGTTTATTTTAACGAAAAACCATATTTTTACACTAAAAAAATCAACCATGGTACTATTCATTTTACCCTTTATTTTGTCCTTATCGTTAAAACTCAAAGTTTTCAAATCCTTTTCATTAGTTTTCCTTAAAAAATAAGGCTTCCTATCGGGCTTATCCATTTTTATTTACGCAGAAGTCGTACGACTTTGACTCACGAACTTTGAAGCCTAAAACCACGACTTGAACATCCATCTCTTTTTACTTTAATCTATCTGAGGGCTCAAATAGGTTTCACTTTGAAATCGTGTTTGCCACGCAGGTGACCACTACCCGAGAATATCTCACCTCCTTAAGTACCTATGCACATATCATTCGACACATTGATGTCATTATCATAAGCGTACGAAGTACCATAAGACGCAGTTAAAAACTATCTACCGAAAATTAAAATCAACGTCAAATAACCAATCTAGTCTTATTCCAACTTAGCTATATGATTGAAGTTGCGCTCGTTCTCCGCTCTATAGATGTTATATTTTTCAAAGATCAAAAAAGAAAAAGGCAAAGCAATTTCATTGCTAAAACTGAATTTATCTGTGTATCGACCGAGTTAGGCTAAGATAGCCAAACCAAAAGCTTGAGGCGCTGACGTCATCATCATGGCCACCTCTCTCTCCAGCCCAAAGCTCACCACCACCATGTCCTCCTCCCCAGCCCTCCACAACCTCTTCTCCAGAAAGCTCCCTTCCCCGCTCTCTCTTCCCAAAACCCTATCCTCTCTCTCCCACCTCCGCCGCACCTCTACCTCTCACCCCCACCACCACCTCCACTCCCGCCGTCGTTTCTCCGTACGCGCCGTCGATTCCGGAAACGGCGCCGACTCCACTCGCCACTACGACTTCGACCTCTTCACTATTGGTGCAGGCAGTGGCGGCGTCCGCGCCTCCCGCTTTGCCGCCAATTTCGGAGCTTCAGTCGCCGTCTGCGAACTCCCCTTCTCCACGATCTCTTCCGATACCGCCGGAGGCGTCGGCGGCACGTACGTCTTTAACTTTTATAGCCCAATTAGGTGTTTGGGAATTGAATTATTCAGCTTTTCCAACAGTTTTGAATTCTGGGTTCTCTTGTTGTCTTTTTGCTGAGGTTTTTGTGTTTTGCTTAACCAAGGTGTGTGCTTCGTGGATGTGTACCGAAAAAACTATTAGTTTACGCTTCGAAATTTGCTCATGAGTTTGAAGAGAGTAATGGGTTTGGATGGAGATATGAGACTGAGCCAAAGCATGATTGGAGCACATTGATAGCTAACAAGAATGCTGAGTTAAAGCGGCTCACCGGAATTTACAAGAATGTTCTTAGCAATGCAAATGTCACTTTGATCGAAGGCCGCGGAAAGGTGTGGCAGTGGAAAAACTCTTTATCTATTAAGTATGCAAAGCTATATATATACATATACTTGGAATGTTGTTCTTAATGTTGTATTTTTGTCACCAATACCACAGATAGTGGACCCACACACGGTTGATGTAGAAGGGAAGCTGTATTCTGCGCGACATATACTAGTTTCAGTTGGGGGGCGACCCTTCATTCCTGAAATTCCCGGAAGTGAATATGCAATAGATTCTGATGCTGCCCTTGATTTGCCTACTAAGCCTGAGAAAATAGCAATAGTTGGTGGTGGTTACATCGCTGTAGAGTTTGCTGGCATCTTCAATGGTTTGACGAGTGACGTTCATGTATTTATAAGGCAGAAGAAAGTTTTAAGGGGTTTTGACGAAGAGGTGAGGAACCATGCATATTGCTAGTGTTAGTTTGGTTAACACATTTTCATGCTACAAGTCTCTTTTCAGAGGTGTAATATGTGTTTTCATATTCATGCAGGTTAGAGATTTTGTTCAAGAGCAGATGGCTCTACGAGGAATCGAGTTCCATGCAGAGGAGTCCCCTCAGGCTATCGTAAAGGCAGCTGATGGTTCATTGTCCCTGAAGACTAACAAAGGAACAATTGAAGGTTTCTCACACATTATGTTTGCAACAGGACGTAGACCTAATACAAAGGTTTGAACTTGGATATTTCTATTTTGTGGTTAGCTTCTCCCTGGTTTTCATGGCCATTGGCACAAGTCAAAGATTATCACCATCAAGGCACAGGTGTGACAATCCACCAAATGAAAGACGGTTGTCTAGAAATATTTGATTGGGACTTCATGCCTTGATGTGGCACTTTGCAAGTATAATACTGACAGTTCAATGATTAAGATGTATTGTTTATGGGTTAATAATTCGAACTTGTGCTGCAATGCAGGATTTGGGATTGGAGGCCGTAGGTGTAAAACTGTCCAAGAATGGAGCAATAGAGGTAGTGTTCCTGGATATGTTCAAGTTTTTCTTTGTTTCCTGCTTTCTTTGTTAGATACTTTCATGGTAAAAGCGACCAAAAGCTGGGCGATAGATAGATATAGAGTTGTGTTCTGAATGTTTTTGAGTTGGTTTTGGTTCTCAGGTTGATAAATTCTCCCGTACAGCAGTTCCTTCAATTTGGGCTGTTGGAGATGTTACGGACAGAGTAAATCTGACTCCCGTTGCTTTGATGGAGGGAGGGGCAATAGCAAAAACACTGTTTCTGAATGAGCCAACAATGCCTGATTACAGGTATCCATGCTACCTTGCTAGTCAGTTGATAAGAGTTGGATTATTATTATGCTAATTTATAACTTTGGAAGTCCTCCATAAAATCTATGCAAGTAGGGTAAAAATGTGTGAATTGCGTATATTCTAATGATATTTTTTTGCCTTGAGTAGAGCTGTTCCTTCTGCTGTGTTTTCCCAGCCACCAATTGGTCAAGTTGGTCTTTCCGAAGAACAGGTGCAGAACTTGTATTTGTATATCTGCAATTTTGGTAAATTGGCTTCTTGTCTTAAACTGCTGTTACTCTTGCAGGCTGTAGAACAGTATGGTGATGTTGACATCTATACATCAAACTTCAGGCCCTTAAAGGCTACTCTTTCAGGACTACCGGATAGAACCTTCATGAAACTCATAGTCTGTGCAAAGACAAACAAGGTTCTGGGGTTACACATGTGTGGAGAAGATTCACCCGAAATTGTGCAGGTTAATGCATTTTACTTAAACATTTTTTTTTTTAAATCAGAATTTTAGTCTATGGAGCTTAGGTGGCAGTAAAAAAGGCGACCCCAAGCCAACAAGGCACAACTCGTGACCTACAGTCACAAAGAAGCAACCTTTATGTTGCGCCAAGGCTCGCCCACAAAGGAGCAACTTTTATTTGTTTTCTTTTTAAAATCAGAATTTAGTTTCTGGAGCTTAGGTGGCAGTAAATGTGTTAAATTACAGGGATTTGCAGTTGCTGTGAAAGCCGGCCTGACGAAGGCAGACTTAGATTCCACAATTGGTATTCACCCGACAGCCGCAGAAGAGTTTGTGACAATGAGGACTCCCACTCGGAAGATACGAAAAGACCCTCCATCTCAGGTTTGTTGTGGACATTTAAGGAATTGCCTTTATTTCCATTTTATGATAAATCTGGTCCTTTAAAATTCCATCATGTATAACGAGCCTTGTGACCTAAGTTGGTTAGAGACTCCCCACCTCTTTTACGGCCCAAGAAGTGCAGAAACTTTTCAATATTTATTACTCTGAACTTGTAAACCGAGTAGTCTGTAGATTAATTATCATTTTTTCACATTCCAGGAGAAGATAGACTCCAATTTTAAAGCTGCCAAAGGTGTTTGATCAGGGTTGATCAATCTGCTGCACGAGATAGCTGATTCCAAAGGTGAGAGTTAGCAGTAAGATAAATTCTTCTTATGAATGTAGAATATTATGGATTTAGTTCTAACTTCTAAAGTGTTGAGTTGTTGATTTTATATGACCAGGCTCAGTGATTTGGTTATAAAGTAATGATGCAAAGACTCTGTAACTTACTGTAGATTAAGAGCTTCTCGGTCTTTCTTCCATACTCCGTATCATAAATGATACGGGTAGTTGACAGTCTAGATTGGAAGACCTGATTAGAGGACTTCAATCTAATGGCCTTAAAGTTGTATCATTTAATGGTATGGAGTATGGAAGTCGGACCCGAGTTTCTCTTGAAACCTCCCCAAATTAGAAGGTGAAATTTATGAACTACAATTATCTCGATGAGGTTTTGGGTAATTATACTTGACTTGTCTCAAAAGGAGTCGATAACGTTGATTTCTTTTCTTCTTGGTTAAAGCGTGTTCAGTTGCAGAGTTAATGGCGATTTAGATCATGATAATCTGAAAAAATAGGTATATGATACAATGCTTTGTATGACTGATTTGTGTATTAAACGACTGCGCAGGTTGTGGCTCCTGAAATTTGTACATGACAATCCTTGTGGAACAGTTGCTGATATTGGAGTATCCGGCATGACAGCAGCTGAGTTTCCGGAGAGCACAGATGGCGCATGTTTCCTCTTGAGGCCGGTGACGAACTTGAGCACAAGCACTTCATCAGGAATCTTTTTACTGTAAATTGGTAGCGGGTTTTTGCTAAGTATTGAAATGAATCAAATTGCTGTATGAGCTGTTATCTGGCTCCACTTCAATATATTTTTTACTGCAGATCGATGAATAAATGCATGTTTTTGACTTCGAATCAGAATATACGTGCACAGATTTCTGAGTTGTATCGCTACTTCAATATCGCGAAAGAAATGCGCTTTATTTGGTTGACAGAGATGTTTAAAACAACTAAGATGGACACAGATAAATGACTCAAAATTTTCAACTTAAAAGGTTTGGTGAAACACATTCGCCGAACAAATATAAAAGGTCAAAACTGCAGAAACATTTCTGCATCAAGAAAGCCATGAAAGCACTTGTAGACTACCTTTCTAGACTAATTGCCACAACGGATAGCACAATCAGATTGTCGTTGAACAGGCAAATGATTCTTCTGAAATGAAGGAAACAAGATCACGGTGACCATCTCCTTAGCATTCGTTCTATGCGTGATGGTAGTGATGCAACTTGTACAACAACACTTTTCCAGCAGCATTTCCTACAGCCATGAAACCTCCACCGGGACTGAAATCCAAACAGCGGGGATAATGTATGGACCTTCTCGGTGGAGGCCAGTTGGAGAAAACAGTAAATGATGGAACATGTATCAATTTCAAGCTATCCTTCTTCATGCTCGAACAAATGGCCAGTATTTGAGCATCACCATTGAACTTGAGAAAGTCTACTTTCGTTGTAAGATTCTCGATGGTCTTGATGGGTTTTCTCTTGCCCCCCAAAAAATCCTCTCTATTGTAAATGTTGACAATGCCGCTGTCTGAACCAGCAGCAAACAGTGTTCCAGTTGGAGATGTACAAAGAGATGTTCCATTTATGCAACCTTCATCAACAGCCTTATGGATGCAAGCCCCAGTTCTCAGATCCCAGTGGTAAACCTGTCCATCTCCGCCGGAGCTCAACAGTTGCTTCCCATCATTGGTAAAAGCTAAAGAACGAACAGTTCCATTCATCTTTAGTGTTCGGATCAATTCCTTCGTTTTAGAGGAAACCAACAGGATATAGCCTTCATTGCCCACAAAAGCAATTGTACTAGAATCAGGGGAAACTTCAAAAAATTCCAAGCTTTTCTCCTCTCTACCAACCAGGGGTCCAATTTTATCTACTTTCGCCTTCACTAAGTCAAAGCTGTAAAAGAAGTTCCTCCTTCCAGCTATAATAACCTGAGACCCATCAGGCAAAAAAGACGCCTTTCGAATGGGACAATCATCAAGGAAGATGCTTTCTATTTTAGTATTCCGCTTGCCATCAATTTGAAAAAACCTAAGCCTTCGGTCTAACCCAGCAGCAAGAAGCAACTGCCCGTTTCTATGGAACTGCACTGAGTTTATCAGACCATTAGAAGGTTCCTCTGCATTTGCATTTAGAAGTGCTGAATATTCAAGAAGTCCAGGCAACAACTTTGAAATGCTCTTCACAACAAGATCCTCATTCGTTCGAAGGAGATCATCAACAGATTCTACACCCTTGTAGCCACGGGCCACTCCTACCCGATTCTCTTCATCCGACGATTCATCATCAGAATAACTACTCTCCCGCAAGTGTCGATCAAGTTGAGCCCATTCTGTGCCTGGGTTCAGCTTAGCATGCTGAGCCCTCAATCTCAACACGTAATCTGAACCCGAAATCAAACTCTCCTCCTCCTCCTTCCTCAGCTTCCTTAACCTATTAACTTTAGCAATATTTATTTTGGCCTTCTCCTCTTCCTCATCCACCCACACAGGTTTCCTTTCCTGAGTTTCCTCTTCCAATAACTCTCCATCCTCTTCATCAACTGAAAGCACACCACTGGCAGAACGGTCCACAAAGAACAAATCCACTCCATCTCCAACTTCTTCCTCATCCCCCTTTCCAAACTCAACTGGGGAATTAATGGCTCCAAACAATGAGTCCTCCAGCTGCTCCTTTTCTTTTTGCTCCACTGCCACTTTCTCATCATCTTGCTTACGGGCTTTCTTTCTTTTCTTCGTCCTCACAATTTCCAAATCAGTCACATCTTCATCCCCATTGTCTTCGTTTCCTTGCGGAAGCGAAGGCAGCTGGTCAGTAACACCATCATCCCTTTTAGTCTTGTTGGCTTTAAAAGCCGACGGAACATTCTGCGATATTAAACTCATCTTTCACAACAACAATGCGTCTCTGCTTCTGCACAATCAGCAAAATTCCGGTCACATTATATAATAGTAGCAACCAAAACAGCTTCCAAAACATCACTGAGTTAATAATAATTCTTCCTTTACATGACCAAACTATTCAAAATCTCGTCTTTGGCAACTACAAGTAGTTCTGAAACTACGATTATAAGGAGCGGAGTTCGAACAGAACTTCGGGTGAAGGATTACAAAACCCTTTCCCCAAAATTATTTTTTAACATAAAACAGTAAATTCCTGAAGTTGTAAGCAAATAAGCGGGAAAAAATAAATAAAATTCAGAAAATATATGCATATAAACATTCAAATGTACAAATTGCAAAAGGAAATACAAAAACGTTTAAGAAATCAAACAAAACCAAAAAATAAAATAAAATGAAAAATAGCAAAAAAAAAAAAAAAAGAAAAAGGAATTTCAGCCATGAAAAGAACATAAACAGCCAAGAGGAAAAACAAATTACCACGATGATGAGGTTTCTTGAACGACGGCGAGCTCCCCCGGCGCGAACGGCAGAGAACGGCGGATACAGAGAACAGAGCTAAGCTTTCGAGTGAAACGAGGGAGAAAAGGGGGGCGTTTAGGCGTTGTGTTTGGAGTTGGAGGCAAGGGTTATAAACCAAACGAAGTCGTTTCACAGTGCGCTTGAATTTGAAAAAGAGGAAAAAAAATAAAAATTAAATAGTGTAGGTTTCAGCTAATAGAAATTTGGGCTTTTCCTTCCGTCAAAACGGATTTGGGCTTTTTCAACTTGTAGCCTCAACTGTAGACCTAACCAACCCAAAAAGTTTTTTTTTTAGATATGATCGTTAAATTGTCACATAGTATTACCAATTCACTTGTATCATAATAAGTAAATTTATTTAGAATTTTTAGCCAAATTGATTCTTGAAATTGGCATAACTCTTCATTTTGATCTCTGAGATTTTAAATCGATAGCACTGATCCTTGAGTTTATCCACAATCAATTATTTTGATCTTTGAGATTTTAAATCGATAGTACTGGTCTCTGAGTTTATCCACAATCAATAATTTTGGTCATTTCATGAAAAATCTATTTTAAATAAGAAAAAAAAATACCCTCAATTATTGTTAAATCATTGTTTGTTAAATTAAAGGTATTTTAGTTATTTTATCCTTATTTTATAGAGATTTTTCATTGAATAACTAAAATGATATTGATGGTAGACAAATTCAAAGTACAGAGTTATGCCACTCTCAATGACTATTTTGGCTAAAATGCTATTTATTTATTGATCTTTTATCCTAAGTCCTTGATAGCATAATTCTTTTTTCTTTTTACAAAAGTAGTAATGGAGTTGGATAGAGATGGTTCAGTATGGGATACCGAACCAAAAGTGGCATATCAAATCCCAAACCGAAAATTTTTGGGACGAAAATCTCATGACCGATCTTGAACCGAAATTTTAGGATTCCCAAAACATTTTAGGTATTTCGGAATTTCTCGAAACCAAACCAGCATCAGAATCCAAATCATCTAGACTGAAATTGAAATCATTCGAACCTGCATAAAAATCCATATTGAAATTAGAGACATAGTGATAGTGAATCAGTGAAGATTTATAGTAGAGAGAGATATGCGTCTTTCTCCTGACCCAAGCCCCCAATTCAAAACTCTAACCTTAATTTGAAATCCCAAACACATAGAGAATCATTGGAGAGAATCGGAGGCGGGGATGAAGCCGTGAGATGTGGTGGTGGCCAGAGTGGAGACAATTCGTCGAAGTGAGATTGTTGGGTGGTTTATGGGTTGCGAGATAGAGAGACAATACAAGAGAGAAGAGATGGGAAAAAAAGTGAAAGATAAAGGGTTAGGTGGTTTATGGGTTGTAGACAGAGAGAAAGAGACAGTACAAGAGAGATGACTGATGAGACAGAAAATGAGAGAGAGAGTTCTATGGTGGCAGATTGTCTGCCCTTCTGTTTGGGTGTCCTTTTCACCCCATTTTATTTGTGCGGCCATGGTTAAGCCACATCAACATTTTATATTCTTATTATTTTTTGTCTTATTATCTTTATAAAAAAAAATCAATATAAAATGTTGACGTAACTTAATCATGATCGCACAAAATAGGAAGGGATGAGAATGACACCCAAACAGAAGGGCATACAATCTGCCTCCGAGTTCTATCTAGAAAACAAGCACCCATGACCCATCCATCCTACTTTTGTCAGCACCACACCACACTTTAGTGATTGTAATTATATAATAATAATCATTACAAATTCCAACACCACACACTGACACACACACACACACATATATATGTATGTATGTTATATTAGTAAAGTTCGGTTTAGGAATACCGAATTATTCAAAGTGTGAGATCAAATCCTATACCAAAAATCCGGAATTGGTTCGGTTTTGGTATCAAAATTTTTGGGATTTTTTGTTCAGTTTCGGTATGGCTTGGGATTTTCGGTATTTTTTTCCAGCTCTAGAGTTAGAGAATAGAGGAATCTAAACAAAATCAAGGATGCATGAATAATTGCTCTACACGACTCTCAGTTCCGTTGCGTAGTTTTTTACTTCTTAAGCTAGTTGAAATATTATGTACAACAGAAAAAAGGGAAAAGCTATATTACTATTCCGTAACAATGTTATCAAATAGTACTATTATTATACGGACAAAATATTACGATGATATCGATATAATGTAAATTGGCACTACATGAATCAAATTAACATTGGCAGAAATACTTGCCTCTAAAAATCACTAATAGGGGCAAATACATTGAAAAAGTGCCTCTAATAAAAATGAGTAGCGAAAAGTAGATTCACCTCTAAAAGAACCATTACTATTGTTATTAAAAGCGAAAAATGTCAAATATCACTCCCTATTGTTTTTGTTGCCACACATTGTTATAGGTAGAAACATCTGCACTTTTATTTCCACATCTAATATAACGCCCTAATACTCACTTTTCATGTAGTGTCGATAATCCCTTTTTTTAAAAAAAGGGGACAACTGGTAGTAAGCCACGATTATCCATCCCTTTCGGTTTTGGATAAACAGTAATAGACTCCAGTGAACAGTAATAGGCCAAAGCATCTCCACACCTAACAAAAAATAGCCTAGTCAATTTTATTAAAATATTATTAATTTTTATTATAAAATAATAATGTGGTTTTGTAATTTTTGACTTCTTTTCTCTGACTCCCCTACTTCCGTCTTATTCTTCACCATCTTCTTCTTCTTCTTCTTCTTCTTCCTTTTTTTCTCCTCTCTGTACACCACGTCGTCGAATCTATCCTATTTTGAACATGGACACCCACCATCCTGGACATGCGCACACCGTAAACCCCCAAAAATCAACACCTACATATTCAAAAATTCATCGAAAATATACAAAACAGAAAAAAAATTCCAGTTGTAAGAAGATCCGAGTTAATCAACTGATCGATGACGATCCGAGTTGCAGGAAGATCACGATTTGGAAGGGGGGACATGGTATTGAATATATGGATTTATCAGGGGAAGGGGGTTGATGGGGTTCCAGGGATCGGGATGGGTTCCAGGAGTCGGATGGGGTTCCAGATGAGAGAGACTGTAGTCATGACGTTAGCAAGGCGTCAGATAAGCCGTCTCCTTCCTCTGTCGATTTTAGGCCGACCTGTGGACTGGCTTGGGCTGGGTGCCAGTCTATTCCACAAGCTAGAGTGGATTGGCTGAGTCTCAGCTTGTTTTTCCCACTGGGTGCCGACCTCTTTTGCTTCCGGTGGAAGTGCTCTAAAGGGTTACGTGGTTTATGGGTTGTAGAGAGAGAGAAAGAGACAATACGAGAAAGATGACTGATGAGACAGAAAATGAGAGAGAGAGTTCTATGGTGGCAGATTGTCTGCCTTCCTATTTGGGTGTCCTTTTCATCCCCTTTTATTTGTGTGGCCACGGTTAAGCCACATCAACATTTTATATTCTTATTGTTTTTGTCTTATATTCTTTATAAAAAAAAATTAATATAAAATATTGACGTAGCTTAACCGTGACCGCACAAAATAGGAGGGCATGGAAATGGCACCCAAACAGAAGGGCAGACAATCTACCTCTGAGTTCTATCTAGAGAAACAAGCACCCATGACCCATCCATCCTACTTTTGTCAACACCACACCACACTTTAGTGATTGTAATTATATAATAATAATCATTACAAATTCCAACACCACACACACACACACACACACATATATATATATATATATATATGTATGTATGTTATATTAGTAAAGTTCGGTTTGGGAATACTGAATTATTCAAAGTGTGAGATCAAATCCTATACCAAAAAATCCGGAATTGGTTCGGTTTTGGTATCAAAATTTTCGGGATTTTTTGTTCGGTTTCGGTATGGCTTGGGATTTTCAGTATTTTTTTCCAGCCCTAGAGTTAGAGAATAGAGGAATCTAAACAAAATCAAGGATGCATGAATAATTGCTCTACACGACTCTCAGTTCCGTTGCGTAGTTTTTTACTTCTTAAGCTAGTTGAAATATTATGTACAACAGAAAAAAGGGAAAAGCTATATTACTATTCCGTAACAATGTTATCAGATAGTACTATTATTATAGGGACAAAATATTGCGATGATATCGATATAATGTAAATTGGCACTACATGAATCAAATTAATATTGGCAGAAATACTAGCCTCTAAAAATCACTAATAAGGGCAAATACATTGAAAAAGTGCCTCTAATAAAAATGAGTAGCGAAAAGTAGATTCACCTCTAAAATAACCATTACTATTGTTATTAAAAGCGAAAAATGTCAAATATCACTCCCTATTGTTTTTGTTGCCACACATTGTTATAGGTAGAAACATCCGCACTTTTATTTCCACATCTAATATAACGCCCTAATACTCACTTTTCATGTAGTGTCGATAACACCTCTTTTTAAGAAAAAGGGACAACTGGTGGTAAGTCACGGTTATCCATCCCTATTGGTTTTGGATAAACTATGAGAAATTTCACCTTACTCGTGCACACAGTCACACAGAGCTCAGAGCATCGAACCCAGGACATCTCACATTTTTTTGACCTCCCACATTTTTTTGTTTATTAGAAAGACGCAGTCTGCGCTCTTACCACTGGATCACTAGATGTGGTTGTTTTTTTGTTTAGAGCTAGATGATGAAACGGTATGTACATTGAAATTTCGTGCATTGTCACACAGCACTCTTCGTTTTATTACATTTTTCGCAATCATCAACATTAACAATCCTTCACATAAACCCTGCTATATATACAGTTGAAGAAGATTGGAATGCTACTTAGTGATCAGAAGCAAGGCCTAGTTGCTTGAGATGGTGGTGTATGTCTTCGGGGTGATGATCGTCGAGTTTCGGCCGTTCGGCCTGGATCCACCGGCCGTCCTTGCACCTCACCATGCCCTTGTTATGATCTTGCCTCCAGTAAGGTGGAACCAAGTAATGGTCTTTCAAAAAATCCGAGGCTTTGTTCACCAGTGCAGGGTCTCTTCCACTGGCTAGCACAAATCTGTGGCCTTTTCCATGGTACCTGCATGAAATATCACGTAATCAAATTAGCAACAGTTTATTATTTTATTTTTCAAGGACTTGTTAATTAATTGCTATTTATGGCATTCACTAAACATGCATATATAATGTGTGTTAGCTGGAAATCATTCTTTCCTGCTCAAACCATATAATATTTAAATTAGTTGATAAAATATTTACTTACAAGTATAATTATATAGATATATGGAGCACATATTATTTACCACAGTAATATGTCGTCCGAGAAATAATATGTTGATATTTACTGATGATATTGTTAATTAAGTTTTACTAACCCATCCAGCAAATGCAAGTGAGCCTCCAAATTATGGGCGCAACCAGGGTCATTCGTCGGCTTCAAAAAGGGCGAGTTTTTGTGATCCAGCTTAAGTTCCACTCCGACATGCGAATAGCTCCACGGCAGACCCTCCGCCAACTTCATGACCCTCGGCGCCACGTGTTCGTTAAAGAACAGCCCGGGCGACTTGGGGACCACATCGTGAACGTTCACCACTCTCAACACTTTAACACCCAACGACTCGAGCCGCTCCTTAAACCTTACGTTCCCGACCCGAGGACCCGAAAACGACAATACAGATACGGGCACGACCCGCCCGTCCGACATCACGTTCAAACCCGTTTCAGTTATGTCGTACGCGCTCAAGATTGCCAACGCGCTCCCGAGGCTGTGCCCAGTAATCGTGATGCTCAATTCCTCGTCCGAGTATTTTTCCACCAACCGTTTAATCTCCGTCAAAATCTGCTCCCTCGCCGAGTAATGGCAAAATCGGCACGTCACGTCTTTATCGGTGTAGAGATCCAGAAAACCGGATTCGACTTTCACAGTCTGATCCGGGCACGGGATTCGATTCGCGGAAACCGGCTTTAGAAAGTCCATTAAGTCGACGATCCACTCGAGGCGGGTGACGGTGCCGCGCCACGCAATACTGATGTCTCGGCGGCCCAAACGCGCCGACGTATCGTCGTCCGAAACGGCGACATATCCAATCCAGTTGGCATTTTTGCTCCATACCTTGGGCCAGCGGGACTTCTTGAAGAAGTTTGGGAGGTTGATATTGGACGTGGCGAAGAGGTAGCGCGACACGTGGTAGCCGTTCTGGGCCATGCCCAGGGACTCGAAGAAGGCGTGGCGCGTGAAGCGGCAGCTGCCACAGTACTTGGAGAAGGGATCGAAGTCGAAGGCGTCGTAGCAGGCCTGGGCCATCTCGCCATAGCGGATGAGCTCAGATCGGAGGAGGGGGTCCATCGGGTCGAGTAACCCGACCCAGTCATCCTGACCGTGGAGTTCCCGCCAAACATCGGACAAACAACGCTCGTTTTCGTGAGTGGTAGTGTTGGTCTCTCGTTCATTTTGGTCGTCCTCTTCTTTGCTGTGGGCTCTTTCTTTTTCAAGCTCGGTGATGATGGAGGGTAAGGAGTCGGTGGTTTTTGAGTGGAGGACTTTGACGGCGACGGTGGAGGTTGAAACGGTGAGTTTCGAGGTTCCGAAAGGGTGTGATTTGTAGGCTGATAAGTTGAGTTTTGTGAAGGGAAGAACGGTACAGGATAAAGAAATGGCCGCCATTGGAGACGATGATGAAAGAAGTGGTGAGCAACTCGGTGGTGAATGACGCAGAGAGCAATGTTTTGTGTGTAAAAGAAAGCGAGCTGGCTTCTCTGCCCTTGCACTCTCATCCACGCTTATTTTATGCAGTAACCGACGTCAATATTTTATATTAATTTTTTTATAAAAATAATAAGATAAAAAATAATAGTAATATAAAATATTGACGTGGCTTAACCATGACCATACAAATATGAAGGGATAGAAATGTATGGGAAGTGGGAGGCTAGAGAAGCCAGGTCCAAAAGAAAGTGGATGACGCAGAGAGCAATGTTAACTGTTAGAGTAATGTTATTCTTACCATAATTTTATAGCATATTTCTTTACATCTTAGACCATCTCCAAAAGAGATGTCAAATTTGAAGGCTTACCTAGCACTTTGGCATCTTTTAAACTTTTGATCTTCAACCGATATGTCAAATTTTAAATATAAAATAATAATTCATATATATTAGGAATGAAAAAAAACAAAAGGATAGTGGTTTAAACCAATAAAAAAAATTAATAAAAAGCATTTAATAATTAATTAAAAAAATTGAAGGTGCTGTTAAATTTGGCAGCAAGGGGTAGAGATGTCAATCCATGTCATCCCACATCTGATTTGGCTTCTCGATTGGAAAACATTAATGTTGTCTTTTGTTACTGTTATTGCTGATTTGGACATTTTGACATATTCTTTAGAGATGCTCTTAGGTGGCAGATGAGTTGGACAAGTTACATCATTTAATTTCAATCTTTTTATTAATTAAAACACTTAAATAATCTTAGATGGTAGAAGGAGACTTCTCGTATACTACAATCATCATTTAATTAACAATTGTTTATTATTAATTATTGATTAACATTTTGAAAATAAATGCTAATTAATTTAGATGATGTGGATATCCACGTCATATGCCATCTAATGTGGTATACAATTGTGATACAAAAATATGGTAATAATAGCATTATTGTAACTGTTAAGTTAAGAGAAAATGATATTTTTTTTTTTTTTGTAGAAGTTAAAAGAAAACAGTAATGTTATTCTTACATGTTTTTATACCACCTTATGTGGCATCTGATATGGACAACCACATCATTTAAATTAAAAATCATTTAATAAACCAATAATTAAAAAAAAAAAAACTGGAATTAAATGGTGATTTTGGCATCCGAGGAGTCTTCTCCTTCCTTCCCTGTTCAACTTCTCCCCCCATTTCTTCTTCCATGCTAGTTCTTTCACTTTATTTTTTTAGGTCAGTTAAATCCATCACAATCTAAATTAAATCTGATACGGTAAGGTTCATGCGCTCTGTAATTTGGATTATTGGTACGCATCTATGGATGCCTCCACTGTAAGTTTCTTGACATCCATCAATCCGCATATTCTTTTCCCTTCAGCCTTTGCTAAACTAGGGTGCTCCTGGAGACACGGGAACTAATCATCGCTCAAATCTCAGAAACATGACAAGGCAACTCTAGTGAGAAGCAAAAAGCATGACGGAGTAAAATCAAAAGAATAAATAAACCTAGCGTACATGGCTTAGACGCATACCTTCACGTAGATGTCGATGGCTTTGTACAACCCATCGTGAATTGGCCTTGCTGACTTGGGAATTGATTGTGACAACTCTACAAAACTACTGAGGTTAAGATTTGGGTCATGTGCAATTTCCGCAAGATACCCATCAACCAGTCTACCAACACTCAACAACGTAAAAGTATCAATCCCCTTTTAGTTTATATTGTGGTGGATTTGTTTGACCTGAAAAAATGGCATGAAAGAACTGGAGTGGAAGAAGGAACGGGTGAAGAAGTTTTTTTTGGTAAAAAAAACGGGTGAAGAAGTTGAACGTGGAAGGAATGAGAAGATTCATCGTATGTCACAATCATCATTTAATTCCAACTTTTTTTTAATTATTGGTTTATTAAATGATTTTTAATTTAAATTAAATTCTGATTAATTTAAATGATGTAACTGTCAACATCAAATACTTAGTATATAAATATGATACAAAAATATAGTAAAAATAGTATTACTAGAAAAAAAAATGATTGGTAATAGCAACTAGGATTAGCATTATATTAGTTAATGGCAAGTGCGTGTTTTATGAATATTTTAGTAGCTACATGTGGTTCACGAAGAGGGTCGATCTTGATTGGTCAAGGAAACCCACGCTGACCAGTCACCATATAATTCCTCGTTACCTCTCACACAAGTCAATCATCACGAACACTTTGATTCACATTCATTGCTTAGGAGAATTGAGATTGAGTGCAACTAGCGTTAATTGATAGTCTGTTAACATAATATTTACGTAATTTACAAAATTAATTGATTTGACAGGGTTTCAAGGGGTGGTGTTTTAATTTGTTTTGAATTTTGTTTATTTTTTAATAATATAGTATTGTATATGAGGTTTTTAGGTTTAGCATATATATCGAATGTGAGTAACAATTCTCTTATATTATCATCGTATATGTCACGTAACAACTCTAATAGAGTAGCACTTTTAATAGTTCTTGTATTATTGCCAAAAGCTGTGTTATGTAATTACACATATAGCTAGTTGTAGGTCCTCGTCCAGCACATGTCTTCTTGTCATTTTGTTTAGAATACTGAGGTTTAGTAAGATGTGCTTAAGCTGGACAAATCTTGGATATAGAAAATAAATCACCTCATATTTATAAATTGTAAAGAACTCTATATATATATATTGGTTTTTTTGTTTAGTCGAAGAGATATATATAATATATGGTATATAAGATATTCGTATCGAATTATGTTCTTTTTTTTTTATTTTTATTCCAACGAAATCCAGGCATCCAAGATATTCAAGAACCGAACCTAGTTTTGAATTGTTGTAATATATCTACCAAAGAATCCCTATGAAATGTTTGGAAATTTATCTGTTAGTATTATTTGAAATTTAACTCTGTTTGTGTAAGTTTATACTATGTTGTCAGTTCCAAGTCAGAACAAAAGAAGAGAGAGAGGGTGTCAAGTAGTCCACAGCCGGCATTTCGCTTTTCATGTCAAATTTCTAGGATAATGAATCTTAAACGAAATTACGCTAAAATTAAGTTGTCACCAAGAAATGACGCGTTGTGTAGAGACATCCCACATCGTTCAGGGGAGTGATCCTTATATGTATATTTCTATCTCTACCTAGCACGAGGCCTTTTGGGAGCTCACTGGCTTTGGGTTCCATGAGAACTCCGAAGTTAAGCGAGTAGCGCGCGAGAGCACTTCCATGATGGGTGACCCACTGGGAAGTTCTCGTGTGAGTTTCCATAAACAAAACCGTGAGGGCGTGGTTGGGGCCCAAAGCAGATAATATCGTACCTACGGTGGTGGAGCGGGTCTGGGAAGTGGTCCCTCTCGGGCTGGGATGTGACATGAACACAACAATAAGTGAAGCCGACTTTGCTTAACGTGACAAGACTTAATTAGCGACGCATTGTATGTGATGCTATCATATTCATGCTAGAAAGTAGAAAGGAAAGAGTAGTTATCATGTCTACTTGTCTATTGGTGATGGTGGTGGAGTTCACCAGGATGTAATTAATTAACGGAAATTAGTAATAAACAACTTAAATTAAAAGTTCAAACTCACGATGATTTGACCGTTTACCGGCTAATTGCAGTACTAATTAGCACAAAAAGTAAGACCAGCTTAGCAAAATAATCAAAGGTCAATATCCAAACGACTCAACTTGTCAAATTTTTACCGTAAGTGGCTTTATTTTTCTGTATGCTAATTATTAATTTAATCTGTCCACTTTATTTTATAAAATTTCTCTACCTTCTGCTAAAAAATAAAAAAAAACAAAAAAAACTTGTCAATTTTTGAAATTGGGAACATGGGAAGGATTTGTAGTGATAACTTTATGCATGATTGAGAATAAAACGTGGAGAGTTTTTGTTGGTGGAGAATTGAATAGTCTGTTTGATACTCTACTTGAATCTAACCTTTTAAACTTAAAAAGAATATTCAAGTTTTAGGTTTTAAAAACTTGTTTAGTAGGACTATTTTAAAAAAATGAACTCAAAAATATAATTTATTATCTAAAAACATAAAAAGTGAGTTTTTAGAGTTTTTAAACTTAAACTCACTCATTTATTTTCTCTCACTTTTCCCCTCTCACTCGAAATCTATCTCTCTCTTTTCTTCTTTCTCTCTCCCTTTTTATTTATTTATTTTTACCTTTTTCGTCTCTCATCCAGTCCGTTATCTTCATTCTCTCCATTCTTTCTCTCACTTCTCTTCCTCTCTATCTCATCCGATCCTCTCTCTTTTTTCTCTTTTCTTCAATCATCTCTTACTTTCTTTCCTCTTCTCTCCTCTTTCTTCCTCTCTTGCGACCCCATTTTTTTAGATCTCTTTGTCTAGTTTAAGTCATAAGATTTAAAATTTTTAAATCACAAACCAATCAAGTTTTTGAGTCTTAAAGAAAATTGTTTTCAAGAAATGTTCTTAAGAAAGGTTTTGATAAATGATTAAATTTTTCAAATAGGATGATACCAAACAAGCTTGAAATAATTTGAAGCGGTGAGAGGCATGAGAGGTGGAAGACCCAATTTTATGATATCTAGCGTACCAAGATATATACTACTAGTTTTCAAATGTCACTCAAAGATTCTTAAACAAAATTGCGTGAAAGTTAGGTCGTCATTCAGAAGTGACACACTGTATAGCCCGTGCACAATTATATGTGAATGCGACCCTGCTTAACGGGACAAAGCTTGGTTATTGTTGTCTTTGTTGTATCATTATCTAAAATTTAATATAGATCAATTGCCTTCGCCTTCATAACTTTTGGATCAAATGTTGAACACAAGCTGGTGTGTACTAACTATTTCTTAAGCTAAATATAGTATCTCTCCAAGAAGTCTAACGACCATTCTTCTCTCTCATCTTGTCTAGACACTTTCTCACCTTCCAAACACCTTTTATTCTTCTAGTTTTCTTTATTCTCAGTAAATTTTCTCTGAATCTCTTCAATTTCCAAACAACTTTATTATATATAAATGATTAATGAATTAACGGAAATTAGTTATAAACAACTTAAACTAAACGTTTAAACTCACGAAGATT